CCCCCCCCATTCTGGCGCTCTCTCTGAGGGACATGGCTGCAGCGCTGGCTCATCACCGCACGGCGTTACTCCGAACACGCCCAAGTACACCACCATTAATACGAAGGCAGCTGCGTACACGCGTGCGCCCCTGCAGGCACTTGTTTCACACAAAGACTAGCGCTAAAGCGGCTGTATGAATATGCATGCCAGCGGGTGGTCGTTCGCTACCCCGTACCTGCCCTAATACTCGCGCGGCACGGCTGCTCGAACGCGTGTGCGTCGGCAGCCGTTTATGTTGTAATACACGCGCGCCTCACACACACCCTCAAATTACCAACACCATGTCGAGGTTCCACCCACACACACACAAATCACACTGCACCGATACTCTGTACTAAAGTTTATTAATGGCACAAATACACCACCTGGGGGAATATTTTGCGAGAAGAGCTTAGCCTAACTCTGCCTACGAACCCAGTCACTCAAACGTCTAACCACGTACCTCGAAGCTGTACTCACGGCATCACACGGACGCTGTGAGAGTCGGAGGGAGAAGGACGAGCGAAAACCTCACCTATCACTGCCTCGTAGCAGTACTCGTTGGCATCACACGGATGCTGTGAGCGGCTTGAGGCAGGACAGCAGGGAGTGGGTCCTGACGGCCCGGAGGTTGAAGACAAGCCCAAAATCGTCCCGGGCTACTATTTTTATTCCCTTAACTTTAAAGGCCTGTGGTGCCATTGTACCGCGTGGCCAATCGTGCGCTTACCTGCGGTTACAGCCCCCCCCCCCCCCCCGTTACTGTGTCCTCCCTCAAGTGCTTGCTGCACAGCGGCGATGGCCACCCATTATCCCTCTCGTTGCCCATTGTCTGGAAGGGCGCTTGCACTTTTGCTTGCCTAATATTCCGCCCTCCCACCAATGTTGTAACTCATTGCGGTTGGCCCAGGGAACCTTTTCTGTCTACGCCCATACAATTTTAAACCATCTTCTTTGGTTCTTTCGGTAAAGTCACGTAGAATGAGAATAAAATAATATAATAAAATAACGCAATAAAATTCTCACGACGTTGCGGCTACAACACAAGTGGCCTTCAGGTGAAAGGAACAAACCTGTCGGGACGACAGAGCTTCAATTAACGTTGTTAATATTTGTAGCCTCTTTTAAGCTGGTTTAGAGAAGTGAGGCACCTTGACAAAGGGATTTACATATCACACAGGAGAATTTAGCATTTAAATAGCTGAGGGATTAGCTTGTGACTGGTCGCAGAAATGGCTATGTTAAAGTCAAAGCCTACACATCCACAGAGGCACCTAGTACAAATCAAAGAGGAGAATTTAGCCTTGAAATAGCTGAGTGATTAGCTTGTGACTGGTCACAAATCAAACAGGAGATGTGTAGGCTTTGACTTTAACATAGCCATTTCTGTGACCAGTCACAAGCTAATCACTCAGCTATTTCAATGCTAAATTCTCCTGTTTGATTTGTACTAGGTGCCTCTGTGGATGTGTAGGCTTTGACTTTAACATAGCCATTTGTGTAACCAGTCACAAGCTAATCCCTCAGCTATTTCAATGCTAAATTCTCCTGTGTGATATGTAAACCCCTTTGTCAAAGTGCCTCACTTCTCTAAACCAGCTTAAAAGACGCTACCAATCTTAACAACGTTCATTGAAGCTCTGTCGTCCCGACATGTTTGTTCCTTTCACCTGAAGGCCACTTGTGTTGTGGCCGAAACGTCGTGAGAATTTTGTGTTATTTTATTTTATTATTCTCATTATACGTGACTTTACCGAAAGAACCAAAGAAGATTAATCCTTGTAGTCACGAAAGCTTTAAATCAAAATTTTAAACCAATTTTAGGGCATCGCAATGTAACCTGTCCTGCGAGGGTCGGCCAATCTTCTGGCACCGGGAAACCGTGGGACTTTCCCTCGAGGGGCCCTTCAGATTAAAACCTGATGTGCCAGGCTTTCCCCTGCCAGGACACTACGTGGGTGCGTGTGCTCAGGGTGGGGGGTAGTGGACAATCACAGCGCTTGCGGAGTTGCTCTGCGGTTGTGGCACCACACAATTCCTTACAGGTGAGTCACATGCTTAGTGGCTCATTACTGATCTATTACATAATTGCATACACCCCCGCCCCACCTCCGCCTCTGATCTCGAATCCTGATGGGGTTCATCAATGATGACGTCATCCTGTACTATTTAAGACCGGAAGCAGGTGCATGGCTTCACTATTCCGGCAAATCGCCCGAAGATGCTGGATGTAATTTCCAACGAAACTCATTGTCAATGTTGTGGATCCACTCTTCAACACACCATTGGGCTAAAGTAGTGAAATATTTGTCTTTTGTCAACATGACACATTTTTTACTGATTGGGCATGTCGGGTGGTGGAGGGTTGTGACATTTATAAATGATGCTATCGAACCCAAAAACCTTTATTATTAATTAAAAAGTATAATAAGTTCCGTACTCACCAGTGCATTCGGTCGGAGCTTACCAAAGATGTTTTCCGTAAACACAAGTTCTGTGGGAAGCTATACAGTGCACACTCATTTCTTTAGAACTTCTTTGTGTTTAGTTTGTCCTTCCTTTCCACCTCTGATTAGCGCGTTACATATGGTGCGAAATAAGTTCAATATACATACTAAACAATGGGATTACTCTATTCAAAGATCGCCAATGAATCGATGCAGTTGATTAACCCTCGACAAATCGATACTCTAACATAGCTGTGGGAATTAACTATGAGCAGAATAAATACAATAATCGCCTTCATTCAGGTTCCACAGGTCCACATATGGTCAGACACGCCCCTACAGGCAACACCACGCCTACTTACATATATGGGCTGATCCACACAAATTTTCCTCCAGGTCAAACAGCGTTGTAAGGAAACAGCGTTATACGAGGCAGCACTATAAGAGGTACACCTGTAGTTGCAGATTACGGGGCTTAATACTAAAATGTACTGTATTATCAATCATGTTGGCATCGAAAATCTCGGCGTTAGCTTACACACAATGGTTTATATGTGAGACAGGCAGAGCCTGATTTGTCAGCTGGGTATATTGCGGGCGAGCGTACTGACGTCATAACGCATGGCTCCATGTTGCCAGCCTCCCGACTACCGATTGGCTGGGACGGCTTTTGTGCTCTACCCATTCGGCATGATGAACTTTGGAGCTCATATTCTTAGTTTTTTCAGTAAAGTCACGTTGAAGAGAAACAACAAAATAACAAAATATATATGAAACAATAAAAAATTCTCACGACGTTTCGACCATAACTCAAACAGTCATCATCAGGTGTGTCGGTTTGCATACATTTATTTTGAAAACGGCATATTTATTTATTTATATATATAAAAATAACGTTTGCGTCACGCGCAACGATTGGCTGTTTGCCAGGACTAGTCCATCTATTTTTTGAAAAGAGGAGGGGGGAGACGAAATTTGTTTTTATGTATGCTGTCTGAAAGCCACTGTAAGCGTGAACAATCAATCAAGAACTGAAATGATTTATCAAATCTTTCCAATGATTGCTAAGATAGAATCCATCTTCTCGGTAGAAATTGTCTCTGTGTTTGTATATGTGGATAGCCTCATGAACGAATCTCTCATGGAAGCCAGATGGCTTACAAAGAACCTCCGTCTTGGAAAAGTCAATGGCATGTGAGCCTACTGAATTAGAACAATGATCTGCTACGGCCGAGGTGTTGGACCAACACCTTGGACCAACACCTCGGCCGTAGCAGATCATTGTTCTAATTCAGTAGGCTCACATGCCATTGACTTTTCCAAGACGGAGGTTCTTTGTAAGCCATCTGGCTTCCATGAGAGATTCGTTCATGAGGCTATCCACATATACAAACACAGAGACAATTTCAACCGAGAAGATGGATTCTATCTTAGCAATCATTGGAAAGATTTGATAAATCATTTCAGTTCTTGATTGATTGTTCACGCTTACAGTGGCTTTCAGACAGCATACATAAAAACAAATTTCGTCTCCCCCCTCCTCTTTTCAAAAAATAGATGGACTAGTCCTGGCAAACAGCCAATCGTTGCGCGTGACGCAAACGTTATTTTTATATATATAAATAAATAAATATGCCGTTTTCAAAATAAATTTATGCAAACCGACACACCTGATGATGACCGTTTGAGTTATGGTTGAAACGTCGTGAGAATTTTTTATTGTTTTATATATATTTTGTTATTTTGTTGTTTCTCTTCAACGTGACTTTACCGAAAAAACTAAGAATATGAATTACTGCAGTCACGAAAGCTTTAAATCAAAATTTAACTTTGGAGCTCGTCGTGACGGACGGTACATCAGCCCCTGGGTCCACTTGCCACTGTGGCTTCTGCCCGAGACAACCCCAAGAGATTGAGAAGCTCCCAAACGGCGATTGCGCCTCACTGTGTGCACGACCCCCGAGATGGAGTAATGCCACTTCATGATGGACCTCGAGCCGCCAAGTTGATTGTGAAAACACGGTGACCGCACATTCATGTGCTGTTTATGTGCTATGAAGATCCGTGTGTATTTGCTATGAAGAATGAATGCTTAAAAAAAATCACCATGTATATTTCTCATTTCAAGGTAGTTTTTGACCTATAACCGTATGTCATTGGCTCGTGGCTCATTCACAAAGTCATGCCTAGTTCTGGTAGCTGCTGCGTGTTGATGTGAGCTGGGTATTTTAAATGAGCGGCAAACGTCACTCGGATATCTCGCGTCCAGATAGATGTCCAGGCAGGGGTGCACACATCATGCTCCGTAGCATGTTTCGCATCCAATGTTATTATTTAAAATGTATATTTTGGGTTAGGCCGGGTAATGATCTGGCCCAAGTATTGTCATGAAACCCTCCACCACCCGAGACATTTAAACAAATTAAATGGTCAAGTGAAGAAGCATTTAACTACGCCCCAATCACTATTGTCAGTTCACTCACCAGTGAGTCTGAGAGCACTTCTCACAACCAGAATTAGCAATTAGATCCATACATGTACAATGAATGTTATTTATTAATTCAACAAATCTCATGCATATCACATTTGATTTCAGAAAAAAATGTTTTCTGAGTTGTATGCACTGGAAACATGACATATCACTGCAAAGGAAATGAAAGATAGTGTCAAATGGCACGCATTAAGGGCTCGTCTTTCAAAACAACGTGCCTCTTTTCCCCTTATGGCCTGCATTATCAAGACATACGGAATTAAAGCTCACATGCATATAAACGCAAATTAAACATTAAAAATCTTTGTTGTGGCAGTAATTGCTCATCAGCCTGAAAGCTTCAAATTCACTGCCTGTGAGAAACAGGATTTGCGACCGATAAGAGATTGGAACCTGTAACCAGGAATCAAGTGCGGCTGCCTAAAGTTTTTCGGGTGGTGGCTATGCAGGTGGCATATAATTTAGAAATTGGCAGTCAGCTTGGGTTGGTGGATCAAATAAATGTTGCAAAACCTCCTTCCCATGGGTTTCGAGGAGGTGCCGGACCCCGACTCGCCAGAACACGGTCAAAGTTCGGACTGATATCATCTGTACCTTCTGTATGGGATAGTGTTTCTCCCTCGCAGGTGCCGAGTTTCTCCATGTGCTCAGGTTTTCTCCCATGCTTAGTCTGAAAATATCTTAATATATAGATGACTCTACTACAGAGCTTGGGCAATTGTTGGTCACGCCAGCGTTCTCACAAACTGATTGATGCTGCCTTCCAGCTCTGTGGTTCCTCAGCGATTGCGAGAGATGTAATTTGGAAGAACGGCGACGTTATATATAACTAAACAGTGGATTATATTAAACATATCCAAGATTGAAAACAAAACATTGCTTTTATATGAGTACCATTATGCCGCTCAACCCAGGGTGTTTTACAATAAAACTAACAAAGAGAAAAACCTCTGGACAATTAACCCAGCTCAAGGATGAGCAATGCAGTCAAGTATGCAGGTGTGCATTATTCTTCTTTCATATGGGGGGGAAAGCAAGTTTTTTTTTTATAGATGTCATAGCTCAATGTTAAGGTCCACCAACCAATGCAAAGTGGCAGTAGATGCTGTATGTATTGCAGTGATACCGCCAGGATGTGCATGGATGGCGCACTCGTCGGGTATGTGAGTGACGGTTTTAGCTTTACTATCGTTGCAGTTTGGCGGTTCTTTGATTTCACTTTGCAGATTCGACTGTGTCTGCTGCATCCGTAATATGACTCGGGATGGATTTCCAAAGGCAAGAAGCACAGCAACCACAGGCCTCTCAGCCCAATGAGCCAGCCACCCACCTCATGCAGCACCATGCAAAAGCACACTCGTGCAGAGTCACATGACCAACAGGGCAGCTTTGGTTTAATTTTACTCTGGCACCATCAGGCTCGATTCCATGATGGCTAGGCTTCTAGGACGCAGATTACCTGCAAGGCCCAAACACCTCTCATACAAATCCCTCGGTCTTCTCGAGCCAAGAAGCTCGTCAGCTGTCTCTTAACACCCGGACGTCGGTGACCAAGGAGAAGCCATGAGCCAAATGGTGCGATTCAGAGAGAGGGACCGTGGTTTTCCTGTGACCACTATTGCAACGGTTGTAGAGCAAAGTGATGGCGACGTGCAGCATGGATGGCACCGGCCCTGGCGCAAGAAATGAAACGGGGGGCCCTATCCCTGTCCAATTTCTGCATTCTTCGTAGTCCAGCACTTGGGCCACTCTAGTCCATAGGTCCTAGTGCAATTGCACAGTCTGCGCTAACAACAGTCAAGCCACTGACAAGATGCGACTGCCCGAGCAACATTGCCCGTAATGACCTCTTCATCTTGAGACTTGCTTCAACTGTCTCTTTTGTCGCAGCCTACATTGCAGTACAAGCCTTTGAGGACATCTGCTTGGTGACTGATTTACAATAAAAGGGACAGTTAAATATTTTTCATCATCCACACGACGGGCAGACCCTTCGCGTCGCGGTATGGCGTTGAGTCGAGTGTCTGGGGCTGCCCGGGAGCGAATGACAGTGGCGCACTCGCGGAGGAGCTAGGCAGCGAAGCCTGGCCAGCGAGCCGCTGCCAGGACGGCACGGCAAGCCCATTCCTGGTGCAAGCAGGAGACGGGGAAAGACTGATGGTGCCATAGCCAAAGGTGGCTATGCCAAATTTGGCACGGCTGATGAATGAAGGAAGAGGAGGCGGTGGTGGTGGTGTAGGCTGGTGTAGTGGTAATCCCGTTGGTGGTGCTAGCAATGGTTGTGGTGTTAACGCTAGTGGTAGTGATGGTGGCACTAATGGTGGACAAGCTTGTGATGGTGACACTGGTGCTGGTGGCAGTGGTGGAAGTGGAGGTGCTGGTAGCAGAGGAGGTGCTGGTAGTAATGCTGTTGCTGGTAGTGGTACTGGTGGGGGTGGGGGTGGTGGTGGTGTTAGTGGAGGAGGAGGTGCTGGTTGTGGAGCTATCGGTAGTGGTGCCTGTGCTGGTAATGGTGGAGGTGCTGGTGGCGATGCCACTGCAGGTAGTGGCGGTATTGGTGGTGGAGGTGCTGGTAGCGATGCCGTTGCTGCTGGTAGTGGTGCTGGCGATTCCTCGCCGAGCACCCCCCCTTCCTCGTCTGTCACTGCCGCCGCCCCGGATCCAGGGGGCGACTCGTGTTGGCTCCAACGCTGACCATCGGGCGAGTGGTGCACCAGCTTCTCCATGAAGTGGGCATCGACCAGGCGGTTGACGGCCCGTGCCGCTGTCACGGGCTGGCACGGCACGTAGCCCAGGTGGGCATAGAAGCACTGCTTGTCGGGGGTGCTGAGGAAGAGGCGGTGCTTCCCGCGCGAGCGCGCGTAGCGTTCCGTCTCCTCCATGAGCCGCCGGCCGAGGCCCTGGCCACGGTGAGCTGGCGCGATGAGCACAGACTCGGCAAGCACGCCGGCCCCATCGCCCACGACCAGCGAGAGTTTACTGTGGCCCAGCACCTGCAAGCGACACGGGCAGATTTTTTTATTTTATGATTACAACTCAACGCGAGCCCGATACAAAACGCCGGTCACCGAACGAAAGGGGGAACAGAAATTCCGTGAACAGCAGCCCGAGTTCGGCGCGACAGGGCCTAATGAAGGAGGAAAACTAGGCACACTGCCCCACCCAGGTGGGGACCACGAGTGGAACATGAAGGTGTATACAGGGAGGGGAAAAGGGTAAGGAGGAAGATAACATACTGGGCAAAAGAAAGAGAAAGGGAGCAGGAGGGGAACCGGGGGCAAGAGCAATGCCAGTGAGGAGGGGACCGTAAAGCCGAGATATTTGATGTGGGATGGAGACCACTTGAAGGTTAACAAGCCCTCTGGGGGTTTAGGGGATACCGGTGATAAGGGCATCAATTCCGACTGTTACATTGGTCTAACACCGTTTGACCAATGTAAATACAGGGTCAAAATAGCAGGGATTGAGACTTCCGAGTTTTTAAAAGTGACAAGGACATCATCGGTGTAAAGGTAAATTTTGTTTTCTCCTGCGCCGTATCTTACTACCGAAATCCGCTGACTTGTCCTAATACTCTCAGCAAATGGCTCCATGGCCATGGCAAAAAGTAATTGTGAAAAAGGGCAAACCTGCCTTGTACCTCTGCTTAGAACAAAGTTGGAAGATGTTAAGGTATTTGTAACCACCTAGGCCATAGGGTTAGCATACAGGAGTCTGCAAATGTCGATGAATGAGAGGGGAAAGCCCCATTTGTTCATCACCCGGAACAGGAAGGCCCCATTCAACCCTGTCAAATGCATCTTCCTCATCCAGGGTAAGGGCTTAAGCGGCCAGGTTGTCCCTCGAGACAATTTCCATCGCGTTGACCAGAGTCCTGATTTTTTCATCCGAATCTATGTTTTTAACAAACCCCGTCTGGGCTTCACCAATCGTTGGGAGCACCTTTTCCAATCTCATTGCAAGGATCTTAGTGAGGATTTTATAATCTGCTTATAAAAGCGAAATGGGTCTAAAGTTACCTCAGGCAACCGCCAGGGTGCCCGGCTTATGTAGGACCAACATTCTGGCTTTGTTCATGGACCCGGCGAGAGAGCCTGAACTTAAGACTGTGTCAAGCATTACCATTAACTGAGAAGTAAGGCAGGCCCTACTTTTCGATAAAACTCCACTGGTATCCCGTTGGGGTCAGCTACCTTCCCCGTCGGCGACGTGGCCATGAAGGCATCGCAGACATAATTTTTGTTTAGCTTAGCATGGAGGTTTTGGTAAACTTTGGACCGGCTTTGGCATTAGGTGTCTCACCAGCAGTCAGTCTTGCTCGAATCAATCCATGTGAATTTCACGTGTTTTTTTCTCTGAGTCTTCCTGTTTTTCCCTCCACATTTATAATCATGCGTTGAGTATTTGTCTGCGATACATTTCCACATGATGAGCCACTTCGTTGTAGCCAGCTCGCTTCTGAAAAAGAGCTATATAGCTCAGTGGGCTTTGCCTGGTAAAATAAAAATATCATTAGACCTCCTTTGCCAGTACCAAAATGTAATAATAGGGTTTTTCCCCTTTTTTCTGGCAACAAAACTGAAACCTTTTTACAAGGATTCATGTCTGCATTAACCACAATACCTGCAGTCAAAATGCAAACAAAAAACATACTATGATAATATATGCATTGCCCTTGTGGCGTCATCTGGTCGAGCACCAATTGGGTCGAGGCACAAAAGAAAGCCGTCCCTTGGTGTGGACCAATCAGTTACAAGGACAATGCATATATTATCATAGTATGTTTTTTGTTTGCATTTTGACTGCGGGTATTGTGGTTAATGCAGACATGAATCTTTGTAAAAAGGTTTCAGTTTTGTTGCCAGAAAAAAGGGGAAAAACCCTATTATTATATCAAAATTAAAATAGTTTCGCTTTAGTGTTAGAACTGCCAGATGTTTGTAGGCAAGGACCCTCCCTCTGTTAGATATGGGTCCTAGTTCGACACAAAACTCTGGACCAATTAAAAAATTTGGTGTCTCATCAGCAGAGTGCATCTCTTTTGCAAGGTCACCTCGGGGGTGGTGCCCTCCGCCGGGCACGCGAGCAGCACGAGCGAGAGGGGGAAGGCGTGGGAGGAGCGCTGAAGTGACACGAGGCGCGCCTGCACGCTCAGCCCCCACTGCTCACGCAGGAGGAGTGCGCACGCCTCCGCCAGCGCGGGCCGCTGGTGCAGCAGCACCGCCTCGATCCGCGGCCCCCCTGCAGCCACTCAACAACAACTACAATAACTACCCAACAATAACAATACTAACTACAACAAGTGTACAACAAATACAACACGAACTGTTGAAACTGGTCATGAGTTTTCACTGATTGGATGTATCGAAAATACTTTAACTTTTTCACTTGGAGAAACAGATATTGTCTGCATATTTATTCGGTATATATGTATGTTGAACCTCTTTCGCACCCTACATAGCCAACCGTGCGAATCGGAGGTGCGGTAAATGATATACGCTCGTTACCTTTAGGCTAAAGGAACATGAAAGCAAGAGAGACATTACTGTATCCATACGCACAAACAGCTCCGTCCACACTCTCCACGGCCGAGATCGCTCCGTTGCCGCTGGCGACGGCGTCATCATCCTCGCCCTCGTCTGCCCACATGGCTCGTGACGTGATCACGCCGAGGTTTTCTTCCGTGCTCGCAGCTGTTACTTTTAATTAAGTACTTTACATAATTCACTTAACTTATTTTAAAAAACCTAATATTTGAACAGATATTTTACTCAATTGTGTTACAATTGTTCAATGCAGGAAATAATTTTAAAACACCATAAATATGCCAAATTCCGTTAAAGACCTCTCATGATAATGAATGGAACTGAAGCAGTTATATTTACGGGCACATTTTTTTGCTACAAAAATACGAATGAATGCAAGATGAGGCTGTAAATTGGTGGTAACAAACAAGGTTGGTGTATTGTGGTATAAGATATGCTATTAATTGACATAACAATCTCATAAAAGTTATGCTACAATAAATGACGAGCAATTATATTTTGGGGAATTTAATTTTTAAATATCTCAAGACAAAATTAAGGTAGGTTCCGTGCGTGAGTTTCACAGCGCTTGGTAACTTGAGATGACCATTTTCATCCACAGCACCTGGCAACAGCAGAAGACGGATAATGACATGAAGCCAACACTGCGGGCGGTGACGGGATCTGGCGGAAGCACACTTGCCACTTGCTGCAGACGTTCACAGTTCAAGGCCAGCGGCCACCCTTGTTAATATTGCAGTTGTATCATCCATAAAATACGCACCATCTGCTTTGCGGTGAACGTTAATGATCCCGAAACATGATGAGAACAAGAGCCATTGTGTGCTGGCATCTGCGTCCTCCATTATTTCAGTGGGTACAACAACATGGCAATATAACAGCACTGTTCATCTTCTGGGTTCTTTCGGTAAAGTCACGTAGAATGGAAATAAAATAAAAATAATATATAATATATCTATACTGCACTATACAGCACTATCGTTCACCCAAATTGCATTTCACCATCGCTAATGAACCACAGAGAAGCTGGAAGGCAGTAGCCAGGTGGTGAGCAGGCACTTCCAACAACTATCTAAGCTCTGCACACCTCTATGTATTTATGTGTTCAGCCAATTAATATATTTGTACACGTGGGAGGAAACCAGACAACCCGGAGAAAACCCACGTGTGAGGGGGCAACTCTATATTCCTGTAACATGTGTGATCCATCATGGGACCTCCTATTCCAGTACCAAAATATTATAGGTTTTCCCCTTTTTTCTGGCAACAAAACAGCTGTGTTAAGATGTAAAAACACCAAACTGAAACCTTTTACAAGGAATCATGTCTGCATTAACCACAATATTTGTGGTCAGAATGCAAACAAAAAACATACTCTGATAATAAGTGCATTGTTCTTGAAACTGATTGGTCCACACCAGAGCCGGCTTTCTTTGGAGCCTAGTCTCAAACGTTGTTAGACCAGAGGACGGCAGGGGAAACCTATTCTCATCTGTGTGATCAACCAACCCTCGCTGCCTTGTGCTGCACCACAGGCCACGTGCACAGTCACGCCCAGCTAATATCGCCCCTGACTGGCAGACGAAGCCCGTCTCTGAAACATAGCGTCTTTGTGATAGCCGTTTGCACTGTAAGAATGGAAAAAATGAAAATATACACACTTGACTTACTTTTAAAGTCTGACATCTAATACATTAGTAATATGTATGTTGAACGTCTTTCGTACCGTACATAGCAAGCCGTGCTAATACGCGGGTGAATTACGGCTGCGATCATTGTCTGGGTACTCCCACCTTTTCTAAGATCCCTGACCGAATACCCTCTAGGTACCTTCTAGAGCGGATCTCGAGAGCTCCCACTACAAGAGGCACTTCCGCCAGCAATTGCAATGCAGGGGCTGCGCCTCTACTAATTAATTTACCCGTTGCGAGACGCCACATTTAACGCGATTTTAAAATAACTCGCGCGGGCCGCACGCCGACCCGTACATGGACATACACCGAAGGATAGCCACGGATTCATCTTCTTTGGTTCTTTCGGTAAAGTCACGTAGAATGAGAATAAAATAATAAATTGATAAAATACGTGACTTTACCGAAAGAACCAAAGAAGATGAATCCTTGCAGTGACGAAAGCTTTAAATCGAAAGATAGCCACGGAGTTCCGCTCCCAACCCAGCGGCCGGGAGTCTGACCCTAGAACCAAACTCATCCCCCCATCGCAAACACCCCACAGTCATAACACGCGACACGGTTTGCGACACTCGCACGGCGCGCAAAGATCGCTCCCTACGCGTGCATTACACCCAGCGTGTGATCTCGAGGGAGCACAGGCCCCGATTACTATGCATTGCAGGATGTCCGTGGGATAATGTAAGTTTAAGGTGGATTGTTTATATCTCTTGTTTGACACTCACGGTATGCGTTAAGTGAGGAGAGTTGCGGTGGCGCTTCTGTTCGAGCGAAGTCGATGCTCGCGGGAGTTTTCCTGCGCGTTCGTGAACTGGAAGTGGCGGTGAGAGTGAGGGACCGCGGCAAACCGCGTCCGCCGTGGAACTGCAAAGACAAAATCACCCCCCCCCCCATAGCCTCTGACAGACTGAGGGCAAGTGTTGTTAGCAAGCACTGATGATTGGTTGGCCAACAACCACGTCCGCCCGCCTTTTGACTGCCCAGTGGTGATATTTACACACCACACCAGTACTCATTTCAGTCTGATTCGACCTGGGGTATGCCCAGGACCTGTTCAGATCATTGTCACTGATGTTGGTGGCCGTGAGCGGGAATCGAACTCGAGTTCCACGCGTGGGTTTGTTGAGCTGTTGGAACCTGAGAGGACAACTCCAGCTCAGTCCGTGTCAAACAGCTTGTGGCGCCACGACCGCGAAGCAACTCTGCAAACGCCGCGATCCCCTCCCGGCCCCCGCACTAAACACGACCCGCACGCAGCGCACTGTTGTATATGTGGTGTGTGAAAATTTAATGAAAGTAATGAAAATAAAATGAAATTTGAAATCTGCATAATTTATCCTAAATTATGTTAATTTGGGTAATTATGCGTACAATTATGCTAATTCGAGGCAATCGTATTAATATATACGAGTGGGTGTGGTAATGTTAATGATACCATTTATGATAATCAGGCCCTGCCTCGTTGACGAGGTGGCGTAATCAATCGGGATAATGCAATCAATCGTATGCAGTTATGCTAGTGTCAACTCGGCTTCGTTGTCTCCCCTCGTAATATCGATCAGTGTAATGCAATTATTCTCGCTTTAACGTTTATTGAGTGGATTAATGTGTTTATATTTTAGGTCCCCAGGTTCACATTCTCGCTTTAACATTTACTGAGTATGGACTAGTGTGTTTATGTTTTGTCCCCAGGTTCATATCTCATCGCAGGATACAGCCCTTATGCAAAAATTATAGGAAATAATCACACGACCACTTCTGCATTAACCAATTTTATTTCCTAATTAACCTTAACTCTAATATGGTATGTGAACTCTCAATCTCGGAACTTCAGCACGGTATCAATACAGTATCATCAACGACTGTACGATTTCACCTTGACAACGGCACATGGATCCCGCATAACGCGATTGTTGTTAGTGAGAGTCGTTAAAACATGCATGCAAGCTATTCTACACAAAAAACCTTAACTTCTATTATGAATTATTATATTTGAAATCGACCACACAGTACTCCCGGATGCTCATTCATTGATCCATAGGCAATCCTTATCACGTTGTTAACAGGGCAATTAATTCTTATGCAGCGTAACACGAACGTATAGAAAATATGAATAAAGTCCTTAAGATTATGCGACGGTATTCATATGAAAGACAAACAAAAATAACAAAATATTATTTCTAAAGGCACAAATATGCGTTCATAGATTCATCAGCGATAAGGTGTAATTAAGAAATGGCTTGTAGTAAGGGGTGCGGCGGGACGTGCTTCTTCCGGGAGATTGATTAAGTCGTGTACAAGATTGTATGATAAGGAAGCCGGTTGAACACGACTTCTCTGTGTGGCGTAGCTTCGTGGCGAAGGTGCCCAGAACTAAATCGGATAGATGAATCTATGGGTAATTATGCGATTAGAAGTACAACAAAACAAAATATTAAGGAGGAAAATCATGAATATACTTATAACGACGTTTAGATGCTTCACGTTTTGGGATTGTCTTTGTTCCTGATATAAATTGTTTTGAATAGTCAGTGTTCGGAGTTGATTCTTTACGTCAAACAGACGCCTGGTTGTCGTGTGTGAGGGGGCGGTGCGCATCATACGTATCAGTCGATTCTTCTGTCACCGTGGTGAATTGGTCCGGATGACCAGTTGACACGCTGTTGCAGTTGCGGAACTCGGTCGATAGATGGCGGCCACAGCTCGCTCGCAGCATGCACGGTGGTGTCGTCGTCCGGCCCTGTCGCTAAATAGCGACCCTCGCCGCTCCGGTGACAGGTAGAGACCTCCTTCGCGTCGGCGGCGGTTGATCTCCTGCAGGGACGCGTTGAGCTGGCAAGCGGGTCTTTGCTGATGAGCTGTCGGCAAACTGATGAGCCGAGCTGAGCTGAGATGATGAGCTCCTTGCTGGTGAGCTGAGGAGCTGAGGATGGCCTCGGGTGAGCTCCCGGTGAGCCGACCGAACCCAACTCCGAGTTCCGACCGAACTGAGTTTTCAATGCTGTAGCGTTCTCTTTTATGCAAAAAAATCCCTTCACTTGGATCTTCCCATAAGGCGGGGCTTCTTTCGATTTTGCTGTGTCATGATCTGTCCGTATGTGTGTGTCCGTACATATGTCAGTGTGTGTCCTTGTGTGCATCTCCCACGGCATATTCCGCTATCCTCCTTCCATTAACCATCAAAAAGTAAAACAGACGTTACAAATGTCTCGAAGGAGGCGTCTCTCTGTCTGCCTCTCTGTCTGCCGGTGCGAGAGGGAGGGCAAGCTTTCCTCCCTGCATGTCATGTCCCCGACACACAAGGGAATGGTTAAAAAGTTTTAAGTTAACATTTTCATTTCACCACAGTTCCACAATTATGATTTGGTATTTAACCCAAGGTCTGTGTCAGCTTTCCGTTGTGGTGTTTGACTCGTGTCAAGGGAAGGTGTTTTCCCGAGCGTATACACACTCCTACCCCGCGCTGCGGGGAGACAAAGACGGCCGGGATCTTCCTTTATCTCCGACCCTGGGTTTAACATCGCCCAAGTCATGCAGTTTATGTTTGTGTAAGCGTAGTATAGTTTACAGTGAATAGCGCCAACATGAATGTTATGTATGAAATAATGTATTGTGAATTTTTTATTAACTTTGCCTGGTGTTTTCGCTGACATGCTGGCATTCCAAGCATCTCTTCCCCCCGCCCTTATTTCTGCTCGCGCGGTGTCCACCACCCTTTGCCCTCACTCTCTCTACTCACCCGTTGTGGCTGCTGTCTCCTGACGCCGCCAATTCAAGGCCTCATTAATTTCCATCACTCCGTGTAGGTGAGGTAGTGTTAGTGATCGCCGTTTTCAGCCTTGTTGAGTGCAGGTGGCAGCGATAATGAGTTGTTTGATTCATGCCACTCTTATTCTTATCTGTAGCGTCCCGATGTCATCTTCACAAGCTAGCATTCATTTGCCTCCCTTTCCACGCCCTTGGGTTTTCCCGTTTAGCTTACGTTTGCAGTTTTGCTGTGCTCTTGTTTTTTTTTCCTCTTTAATCTTATTTTAACTCTGCTTATTATTCGCTTATGGCTGGAGGTTAGAGAATTCCTTTTGACTTAGGAAAATTCTGATTGTCATATGCTTCGGGTAAAGTTGTATAGAAACTATAAAAATATGGAAATAACATTTCATATCAAATTAATAGATGGGTGATGGTTCCTGATGTAGCTTGTGGCCTGGTTTAATTGGAGTGGGTGTGAAGATCAATAACTTTAGCCTACCCTGTTGTTAAATTCCGACTTTAACGTTACTTTAATAGCAATGCAGAATATTTGAGTTTTTCTTTTTTTACTGTCTAGGCTAATGCGAACTTTTGGTGACCCTAGGCTCCGCTTACGTCAACCCCGCAGCTTGTGCTGCTCAGCTGAGTCTGCGTCCTTGAGAGTTATACAACACTCTTATCTTTGTCTCACCGTGGCCATCCCACTTTCTGCTCTGGGAGTCATTCTTAATTTCAGGTCAACGGCCCTTTCACGTTCAGACGTGCGGTTGTTTAAATTAGCTCCCCCCTTGCACACAGCCTGTGATAGTGGCCTGGCCTTCGGGTGTTTACCTCAGTCTCTTGGAATTAGCTGTTCAGCACTTGGTTGGTGACCTCTGACCCTGGGAGCTATTATTTATTTAATTTGACCTGCACATACTGTTGCTGAGGGACTTGGGACTGTTTTTATTCATTATTAAAATAAAAAAAACCAATAGAAATATGTATCTATATGTATCGGAAAATTACTTGTTAATATTAAGATGGAAAAAGGGGGCATATATACAGCAGCACCCACCGAGTGGCGTCCTGGCAGGGGGTTGCCTGGCACCTCGGGGGTTTTAATCCAAATGGCCCCTAGAGGGAGAGTCCCACGGTTTCCCGGTGCCAGGAGATTGGCCGACCCTCACAGGACAGGTTACATTGCGGTGCCCCTAAATTGGCTTAAAATTGTATGGGCACACAGCAACTCACCAGGATAACCGCACTGAAAATGCTCACAGCACGGGGGGAGGATATGCGGGCGGCGCAGACGGAGAGGGGGGGGGGAAACCCTGGACCCCCGCAGAGGTGCAGTCCGCGAGACGGCAACGCCGACCAAAGCGGCTGAGTCCGGAAGGGGGAGGGCGGGCGCGTCGACAGTGGGTCGAGGCATAACGGAAAATAACGCTGCAGGTAAGGGCGGGACATCAGTTTAAAATGGAAAGGTAGCGCATGAGAATACAGGTGGGAGCCTCGGCACGATTAGTTCAGTCGTCTTCAACCTCCGGGCCGTCAAGACTCGCAGCATCCGTGTGATGCCAGCAAAAGCTGCTACGAGGCAGTGAGGTTTTCGCTCGTCCTTCCTCCGACTCTCACAGCATCCGTGTGACGCCGTGAGTCCAGTTTCGAGGTACGTGGTAGAACGCTCGAGTGACTGGGTTCGTAGGCAGAGTCAGGCTAAGCCCTTCTTGCGAAGTATTCCACCTCCAGGTAGTGTATATTTGCACCGTTAATAAACTTTAGTTCAGAGGATCGGTGCAGTGTGATTTGTGTGTGGTGCGACTGCGCGGAGAGACGGTGTGCACGAGAGAGGGAGTGTAGAGCTGCGGCGTGTGCTGAGAGGAGATCACTGCATGCGTGGGGGCGGTCGTGCCGCGGGGTGCCGCGTTAGGGTGAGTGACGTGCGCACAGGGGAGCGAGTGCAGGGCTGCAGCGTCGGTGGGGGGGTTGGTAATTCGAGAGTGTGCGATGTGCGCGCGCAAATTCGCGCAGCCCTTTAGCGCGAGCCTTTGTGTGCTGCGGATTAGGACTTAACCACCCGGGGGGTGCGCGCGCATATTAATACCGCCGTTTTCTTTAGCGCTAACCTTTGCACGGAATAAGCGCCTGTAGGGACACGCGTGGTTACGCGCGCGTGTGTGAAATACGCGCCTGCAGGCCTCCGCGTTCGCTTTTGTGGTGGTGTACGTGGGCGTGTGCGGGATAATCCCAGGCGGTGGTGAGCCAGCCAATCAGCCATGTCCCTCAGAGAGGGCGCTGGCGCGGAGGGCCGATCATGCGATCGGCGGAGGTCCGGCGAGAGGGGCCGAACGGCACGGTGGAGGAGGGAGTGGAGAGGGTAAACGTTTCAGGCATGGTTCCTTTCCAGTACAGAGAGATACACTTAATAACGAGTTCTAGGCTGGACCTGTTTCCACCAAGCGGCCTGATGAGAATTGCATTTTTAAGGTTTTATGGTTACACCAGGTTTTAAATTGGTATTTGTGTCCCTACATTTTATGTGAATTGTACACAGGCTTTCCAGACCAATATCCTTCAGGCATTGTTTAAGCAAACTGGACTGGCTTCGACCCTCTGAGTCTCATCAGCAGAGTTAGGGCTTGTTAAATATACACGCGCTGCTCAATACGCCAGATGCTATTGGCAAGAGCACTCCATATAACTACGGGGCGCCGGACAACGCCAAAGGCGACCCATTGTGTGTTGCCGATGAGCATCCTCGCTAAAACGAAAACAAGCAAACAATGTGCCTCCTTCCTATCCGTCACTTAACATTAACACAAATACATATTCCATCAGCAGAGCACAACTCTTGAATAATTTCGACATTCAGCGTCTCATCAGTGTATATGTATTTATGTGGAGGGACAGATATGTGACAGAGGCGACCTGTTTATTGTGTAACCTATATTCTCCAAGACAACGCTGATTACTTTGTGGAAAACAGCAAACACAAGTTTCTAATGTGGTAACCCAATAAGCATGTAACGTTAACCAAACGTTGCAAGCCTATTGGGAATGACCACCCTGGGCCCTGCATGAACCTCCTCCCGCCACTCAAGGAGACCACCAGCAGAGACGCTCTCTCATAAAGGCCCGACTGGCCAGAACTTTGTCAAAACGACTTGTACTCCAGAACGGGACAATTGGGGCCTTGCGTTGAACATTTGGGCACCGGTGATCCGCTCCACACTGCGGGCTGGGACTCCATCTCCTCATATTCACTATCGAGAATCGGCCCTCTCTATATACACTCCCGACTCCCCAAGAGCCCCGAACACCCTCCCCCACTCATCTTTATCCCCTTGTCTAACCCCACTGGGCGGTGGTGGCTACGATGCACGTGGTCTGTAATCCTGCACTGTGGAGGCAGCGAGGGTTGGTGGATCACACACGCACATGATGTGACACTCCCCCCGTGGGCGCCGAGGTGTCACGCCCTGGCTTGCCCGAAGGCGGTACAGCAACGTGTAGAGTCCAGGGGTCGGCAACCTTGTGGCTCTGGAGCCGCATGCGGCTCTTTAAATAATGCTTCATGACGTTATTTATTTGGGGTTGTCTCGTATTCACCACAAAGTGCATTTCGGCTCTTGAAATATTTGAGGGTTTTTTTTACCGAATTCTAAAAAAATGGCTTTTGTTATTTTGAATGCCAACCCCTGGTGTAGACTGATATAATCGCCTTCTGTATGGGGTACATTTGAGTGTTGCTCCTTCAAACGCGCGAGTTTTCTCCGGGTTCTCCGGTTTCCTCATATATGAACACTAATTAGCTGAAAACATCGGAGCAATTGTTGGTGCCTGCTCACCGCCCGGCAGCCTTCTTGCTTGTCTGTGGATCCTCGGCGATTGCGAGGTGCTATTTACATGAACGGCGCTATCTATATAAACATTAGATTGGTTAGGTTAGCATTCGATCCCTGATCTTCCACACCTCCTGCCGGATCTTCCTCCAACTCCCCACTCGCTCCCCTCAGTAGGTCCAAGTGAGGTCCACTTCGGGCTACCACCGCAACTCTGATGTCTTTATGAATCACATTATCGATTCAACGTGAAGCTGCGGTGGGGAAGGAACCCACAGCCCGCAAGTCGGGGTCGCCCCTTCGGTGGCTTCTGGGGCTGATGGGTACCACCTGTCCAGGTTAGAGTCATTCACGAGCCTCCGATCTTGACCCCCAGGTGCCAGTCATCGGCAAGTCCAATCAGCTCTACATCCCCCTGTACTGTATCAGCCCATCTCTCCAAAGACACACACACGCACTCTGCAGAATAAGAGAACATACAAACGATCCGTAGAAAGTCACCTGATTTGGGAATTGAACCCAGGACCGTCTTGCTGTGAGGAACAAGTGTCACCATTGCGCTGCCACCTTGTCATCCCCTCTGGTTCTCGATATAAGAATGGTGGTTGTTAGTAGAGTATAGGCACACAACAGAAGCTCACGGAGAGAGCCGACGCGGCGAGTGGGACTTCTGGCTTAGAAGACGACCATTGCTGCTGCACTACTCAATCATTTATTTCTTCTCAATGCAAATCCTCCACGAAGACAAATCACACGAGTACACACAAGTAACGGACTGCATTCGTTGCCCCTGAACTCATATCGCGTTTCCCGAGATGATAACAGTCAATGTACCTGAGATGCAAGCTATACTCAAGACAACACATTAAATTGGACACGGAATTAGCAACGTAAAACACAGTAATACTTCAGACAATGAAAGGATATCTTGGAAATATGGCTTACTATACAAAGACGAGACAAAGACCCCCCCCGTCGTATAGCCTTAAGACTGTCGGGGCAAATGCTGTTAGCGAGCACTTATGTAGGTCGGCACGGCACATGAGGGGGTGGGTGGCCAGCACCACGCCCGGCCGCCTTTTTCTCCCCAGTGATGATGTTTACACACCACACCAGGTACTCATTTAAGGCCAAGTCGACCCCATGGGAGGCCCAGTATTGGTTCAGATAATTGTCACTGATGTTGTTGGCCGTGAGCGGGAATCGAAATCTGGGCACCGGGTTCGTCGTGTAGCTTGCTCACCACTACATTACTGCTCCGCCCCCCCCACACACACATGGGAAATATACATTTATAAATGGAGCATGACTTTAAAAACTAGGTAAAGAGGTAATTGCGGCCACGCAGTTAATGGCATCACCCCTGAGGGCAGCTTCCTTTTGTCAGATCCAGCAGCTGCGGAAGAGTCAACCCCCAACCCACAAAAAGAACAAGAGCCAAATAAACTGAATTTGGACTCACGCGGTGGCCGAGTGAAGACTTCCTGTTATTTGGGAGACAATTCTGCCGGATGGGTTTGCGAAAAAACTAACGGCAACACAGCCTCCACCCCCAGCAGTACGTTTACACCACAGTCGATTGGCAATTGGGGTAACGTGTGGGTACTATCACCTATGCCATGACATCTGGCCAGTGTGGAAGAGTTGACCAAAATACCCTCAATCAAAGGGGCTCTGAACTCCCCCTCGAGTGAATGGACCTTCCACCAGCGGTGGCATGCACAAGAAATTGCAGGACTGCTCCTTTACCCTTTATCTTGCTTAACGGAATTTGTTCGCGTTAAAACATGCAACACATTGTTCAACTTGGGAGATGCCGTGAAACGCTATACAAGAAGAGCCCACAGTCTCCCCAAGGCCAAACTCGAATGCCACTGCTGCTGCCACGAAGCCATCCCCCCTCCCCCCATTTAGGAGCACTTGGAGCGAGCTCAGTGAAGCGACAGCGATGCCGCCGCAGCGGTGAGAGTGGATCGTGTGGACACTCCCAGCGATGGCAATAACCACGCGGGATCTATCGGGTACACGCACGGCCTGCTTGTCAATCCACTGCTGGATGACGGCATCTCCAAGTTGCGTGGGTCGCGGGGGTTTATTGGCCACATTAGTTTTCGCAAGTTGGTGAAGGCAGGAAGTGTAGACTTGGCAGCGTAGATGTACAGTACAACAATGTATTTTGCTGCACAGGGCTGCTGTGCACGGTGATCGCCTAACCAAATGCTATCCGGGCTCAAGCCCGCTTAGATTCTGTGATTGGACGACAGCGGGCACACTCCGGGTGACTTAGCCACAGGCCGTGTGTGATCCGCACAGCTGCAGCGCACCAGACGCGTTGGACAGGGAATGTCGCAACAGATCAGATTGCTGGTACGCAGCAAAGTGCGACGTCTTTATAGTATTTACGGACTTGAAACGAAGAATAAAAACACGTTTGAAGCCAATTGCTGCATTCAGGTCTCCTTCAGTCCAGATTCACGAACCAACCCAAACCACAAATGAGGTCGCACAGGTCCAGCAGCAGCCATTAAGTTTACCAGCAGTGTACACATGTCCAGCCCCACTACCGCTGTAAATGTCACAGCGAGTGGTGTTTTTTTATGGTATTAAAATTCCACTTTTGATCTGCGCCCTGTTTTTTTTTTTAAAGCAAATAACGCATACAGTTATTGCAACGAGTCCAAATAGGAATCATCATCCGATGGTACTCGGAGAGGAGCGAAGCCCCAAGCATCACCGGTGTGAAACAATCGTGGGCTTTTCGCATGTCGTTTATTTGCAACATTTTACCAAACTTATAAATAAGAGCAGAATACTGCTTCCATAAAGCCAGGGAGCTGATCTGGTCTGAGACACCACGAGACTTATATTACCAAAATAAAAACTTCTGGGACAATCCGAGTATTTTTTAAGAGATTGTCAAATGGCGACATGCGTAAAAGAGTGAAAACGAACATTAATTTTGTGTGGATAACCTCCAGCCAACATTATGAACAGCGCCAATGATCTTCACTCACGTTCATGAATTCCACAACAGCTCGGCTCACTTCTCAATCATTATCTTCTTGAAAGAGGCCCCAATCGCACGAGTATTAGAATTAAAAATGCAATGCTGTTGAGGCCACATGGACGGTAATTATATTAACTCACCACCTTGTCATTGACACTGGCTTATTACCCAACAAAAAAACTCGAGCAGCACCACCGCCCACAATGTTAACCTACCACTGCTAATACTACGCGCAGTATTGTCTTTTACAAGGGGGCACACGCTAATGACGATAGGAGTGACTTTTTGCGCCTCCTGTAAACGCTTCGGTGGGAGAGATTGTCAGTCAATGCGAGGATGCAGAATGCTTTGTGGGTCATGTGAACCCACGTGGCATGCACACAACATGACGTGCAGGCCGGGACGTAAACTCTACGTGCGATGCAAGGGAAATGAGCGTTTATCCGCGCAAGTGGGATCGTCAAAAATCCATCCGTGCAAACTTTTAATCCCAGCCATCTTCATCATCACTTTCTTCATCTGCAAATAAAACGAGGGTCAACATCAGCATTCGACTGGCATATGTTTGTATATTTTGGGTATGTTTCCGTACTATTTGCAATCCTAAAAATTTGGGTACGTTATTATCATTAGTACTACGCTCATCTACCCAGGAAAATCTCACTGTGAGACAATAAGGTGCACACCTTGCCTGGTATGCAGGAGGTCATGGCTTCGATCCCAACCATGATACCTGTATATTTGGATTGGTTTAACACGTAGGCTTTCGCGACCAATATCCATAATACACGGTTTTTGGGTTAGATCGTGTAAATATGTGTCGTTAAACCCGCCACCACCTGACACAGCCAATTAGTAAGGTTTGTCACGTAAATAGAACCTGCTAATTTTTTACCAGTACAGTACACCAGTGTGTTGGAGAACCAAGCCACAACATTTACAATGAGTACGACGTTTCACCAGTATATATTCCAATTCAGTAAGTTGTGTTTTTTCGAATTTGGACTGTGACGCGAGTATTCAATGGCCTACTCTTGCAACCGATGTGAGAGGATCTTTAACATCCACAGTGAAGCAGAGGGTGCGGCATGGTATTATTACACCTGCAGTATTAACCCCGGCGGCCACCGAATTGAACTGTGAACCTCTGCAACGAACGACGAGTGTGCTACTGCTAGCCCACTTCACCGCGCCTACGCAATCAATCATTACTATAAACAATTTTCAGCTGTGTACAAGCTGGCCTCCACCATGGGAATGTGGAATTTCCACCACTGCCTTAGAGCTGCCAATTACGTTTAGTGTAACCCAACTGCCCATGACCCAGTTTGGCCATTCAAATGTTGATTCTGAACTCCCCCTTGTTGGATGGGACTGACAAGGCTGTGAAATTGCATGTTTGCCACCTGTTGCAGAAGTTAGCGGTGTATTCAACATAGATGTGTAGTCCACTTCACAGGGGACGTTAAAGATTCTGGGATGCCATTCAAAACAGAAGGCCGTAGGTGCCAGCATCATGGTCCAAACTTTGCAAAGTTTGATAAATTGCTCAGAAATTACTTAATTCAGAAAATCCACAAGGCAACATCATCCTCCCCTGGCAGACTAACTCCGATTTTCAGGCTAAGCTCTCCACACCTTGTGCTGCAGAGGGACAGCTGCCACTAGGGGGACCCCTTAGTCAGACTGCCGCAGGTTGAGACTTCATGTCAGGCGCTTTGAGTTGATGGTGTTTGAAGGAAGAAACTGCAGAGGTCATCTATCCAAGCCGATTTGAACTGCAGGGAATTACATTTGCAATATTTTCTAATTCTCTATGTGATGCAGTTATTTTTGTTTAAAAATTTTTGTTTGTCTCCTATAAATTCTGTTGTGTTGTTTTTGCTCGGATTAACATTTGCTTTTTTGCTGTATGGTAAGTCCTTGCTTGGCGCGTGTTCATACAACATGTTTTCACTATAATGCAATTATTCCATTAGGGAACATTTTTCACACAACACTGAATAGGTAACGTTATGATGTGGAGCGCGCACCATTTTAATACGGTTTCTGAGTGGTCAGTGATGAACTACTTTCTTGAGCTGCACGGCTGAGCGGAACAGTAGAGTACGTGGAATTACACAGTAATGCGGCGGCGTACCCTCCGTTATTAGTCCCACTATCTCACTGTTTGTGTACATCGTATTTTGCCAAACTTTAGCATTACATAATTTATGGGGAAATTTATTTTGCTTAATGCACCACTTTTCAGGAATGCATCTATCGCGTTAAACAAGGACTTACTATATTTTGCTTTTATGCCATCACTTTTGCCACTTTGGTGACCTCGGACACCAAAGAAACTTCATTCTGGTCTCTTGGGTTCTCACCTGGTTCAATCAAAATGCACTTAAACGTTGAAGCACACTATCAATGAAAATTCCTACCCTGAATACTGCACTGGAGGCACCACAGAAGTGCACACGTGCCTGCCTGCCTGGGTTCATGCCTGTCTGCCTGCCTGGGTTCATGCCTGCCTGGGTGCAGGCTCGCCTGCGTGCCTGTGCGTGTTTGCTTGCGTGCTCACCTGACGACTGCACGATGCGACTGCGCCGATTCATCACCTCCATCAAGGCGCCAACGATTCCGCCGTCTCCAGCAGATGGGGTCATTGCTCCATCTGTCTCTGGGACCTAACGGTGACCACCACCCCACGGACAGAACAGGAGGGGGTTAAAGCAGCGGCTCTTAAGCTGGGGAGGCGAGTGCAGACTGTGGCACGGACACCATGCAGGAGAAATGCCAAATGCGCCCGGGGAGCATCTGCGCCACATTGAGGTGACAAATCAATGATACATGGCATGAAATACATGGCTTGCTAACGCATTGACACAAGGCATGAAACATGCCTTACTAACACCACACTAATACACTACATAAAACATATAGCTTACTAACACACTGATACACTACATGAAATGCATACCTTACTAACACTGATACACTTCATGGAACGCATGCCTTACTAACACACACTGATACATGGCATGAAACACCTCTCATGGTAGCCCTGAGCCAGTGGTGGAAATTCCCCATATCCATGGCACGGGCAGAATCTATTCACAACACAACCATGGTTGATTTTCTGCAGGGTGGCAGTCATTTTATCTAACTTGATAGCTCAACCAAGTAACTTATAATCTGGACATTAACATCAGCCAACTAATCTAAACGCATGTCTATAAATGTGGAGGGAAAAATTGGAGGACACGGAAAAAAAATTAACAGGGAGAGAGAGAATGCAAACTCCAAATATACACGTGTCAGGGTTCGGATCGAACCCACAACCTTCATACCAGACGAGAGAGGTAACATCTCGCCACCGCTGTGTACCAGCCATGCTCAACCCCACTTAGCGCACTCTTGGCAACTTGATCATCGGTTCTTAAAACACCATGCACGACGCCGGGGCACTCACAGCGTATGCTGCACTCACCGCCTTGAGCTGGAAGCCTTGTCGGATCTGATCAAGGAGTCCCCCTCGTCGGTCATCGGACGGCACCAAGAGCAGAGTTGGTGGTGCAGGAGGCGGTGCCTGTGCCTCAGCCCCGTCTGGGCATCGTTCAGGCTCCGCCTTCTCCCCTTGAGGCTCCGCCCTGTATTGCTCAAGCTCCGCCATTGTTACATCAGGCTCCGCCCTTGATCCCCATCCACTCCGAATCCGCAGCAACAGACTAGCGGCCGATGGTCGGTCGCCAGTGGCTGGCTGCCCGGCAGGGGGCGGGGGGCACAGCGGTGGTGGGGCAAGTGGTGGTGGGCGTGACGATGGAGGAGGAGGAGGAGGAGGAGAAGTGGGGGGAGTGGGCCCCATTGGCGGAAAGGCAGGAGGTCCCGTCAACGGTGGTGGTGGAGGAGGAGGTGGAGGAGGAGGTCCTTTCGATGATTGTGGAAAAGAAAGTTGAGATGATGCTGGGAGCAGAGGTTCTGTTAACGGCTGAGGTCGACGTCCTGAGGATGATGATGATGATGATGACGATGGCTGTGGCTGTGGAGGTCCTGTTGACGGTGGAGGGAGCGGGGGAGGTAACGTCGTAGGCGGCCGTGGTGGTTGTGGAGTTTGTGCCGCCGATAACGGAGGAAGAGGTCGTTGGTGGCGTAGCACTGTGAGGTTTTCTTCCGTGTTTTGGGATCTCTGGAAGCTTCAACACAGAAACAAGAACACTAATCAGTTGCCTCCTTGTCACTCTTATATTGCTTATACTATGCCTACTGTTCCATGGAAATTAATTCGTCGATTCCTTCACCCATTGAGGCAGACAATCATCTCAACCACCATATCGGAGATCAAAACATCACACTCATTACTCTTTGGTTCTTTTGGTAAAGTCACGTAGGTAGAAAAGAATAATAAATCACGACGTTTCCATCGCAACACAAGCAATTGTCATCAGGTGGAAAGATACAGCAGTAGAACTGCTGAACAGGAAAGGGCTGCTGCAACAAGAGGTTATATACAGGTTTGAGGTGGGTGTCACCCAAGGGTAAGTTGGTGGGGTCAGAGATGGAAAGGAGTCCCGTCGCCGCACGCATGCACAGCAGCTGCGTGCGTGCGACGACGGGGCTCATTTCCCATTATACTAATTTAAATTAACATGCCAATCTCTCCCTTTAACGCAGCTGTTGTGCGTGCGTGCGGTGACGGGACTCCTTTCCATCTCTGACCCCGCCTGTATCTTTCCACCTAAATCTTTCCACCTGATGACGATTGCTTGTGATGCCATCGAAACGTCGTGATTTATTATTTTTTTCTACCTACTTGACTTTACCGAAAGAACCAAAGAGTTTGGATTCCTGCAGTCACGAAAACTTCAAATCAAGATCACACTCATTCACTCACCCATTTGCTCACCCACTCAACTACTCTCACCCACCACACTGCAGGTAAAAAACTCTTCTCTTTCTGCCTCTTCTCTTGCAATGCTGCACTTTGGAATTCCCTCATCATAATTGCCTCGTTTTCCCCGTCTTCGACAACAATAACCTTGCTTCACATGTCAGCTTTATTTATTACAACTATGTTTCTGCCGCTCGTTGTTTGGGGCCTTTGGGGTTCTTTGCTTGACATCTATGTTTCAAAATTATCACTTCGAGCTACTTCATCTCAAGTGACGATACGCGACATGTAACTGGAACCATGGGAGATTAAAAAATTTTTTTAAGGACAATTTAGAAAAATTTGAGAGTGAATGATGAATGACGCATTGACAATGGAGAGGTCATTGCGGCCAAAGCCAGTGATGCCAACACCACCATGACCACCACACGTCGCTACAATCGCTCTCAAAGCTCAACTAAATTATGCAGCTGCTGCACAGTTGATACACGGCCACCTCAAAGTTTCGTGCTCAGTCTCCTGCCATTTGGCCCTACCTAGGCTCTCTCTTCCCCTTTGTCTGCAACTTCATGGAGACTGCCATAGTACAATTTAGGGGCTGATTGAAGCTCAGAAATGGGGTACGTTTCTCATGAAGTCCTCCTGTCGGTTTATGCATTGGGGTAGGCGGGGGAAGGCCCCCCCCCTCACCTGTTGTAGCCCGGCGCTCCATTCTGGTAGGTGCCGGGTGTCGGCACGGGGGCGACGGGCGATGGCGGTGGCGGCGCCTGGCCCCCAGGGGCCGTGCGGGATGATACGGCCTGCTCCGAGTGGTTCCTCTGGGCGTACGGAGACAAGGGGTTGAACGCCTCCCTGGGCAGCCGTGTCGTGCCGCTGTGAACGGGGCCCGGTGTGCGGCTGGGCACTGAAGGACCGGCAGCAGCAGCAGCAGCAGCAGAGGCTGTGAGAGGAGAGAAAGCCCAGCCGCCATTTTTTTACATTTTTACTATTATTTTACTATTTGATTTTACCAGGTAAAGACCACCGAGTTATTCACCCTTTCAGAAACGACCTGGATACAAATGATAGCTCAACGAAGTGGCTTATCATGTGGAAATTTATAGCAGCCAAATAGACTAAACACATGTTTCTAAATGCAGAGGGAAAAACTGGAGGACTCGGAGAAAAATTCAAGCGACCATGGCGAGAGAGACCATGAAAACTCCAAATATAAAGGCGTCAGGAGGTCAGGATCAAATTCACGTCCTCCTGCATACCCGGCAAGGGAGATAACATCTCATCACTGCTACGGCGGCACCCCTGGGTTCCTTACCCATACAGGGAATTCGCAAGTTGAATGCGGGTGCAACACCATAAAGGTGCATAAGAGGTTTTTTGGGTTAGATCTCGTAAATATGTGTCGTTAAAACCCGCCACCGCCCGACACAGCCAACTAGTAAGGGTTGTCACATAAACAGAACATGCCAATGTGTGTTGGAGAGCCAAGCTACAACATTTACAATGAGTATGACGTTTCGCCAGTAATTATAACTGGCTTCAGCAGGCGAGACAGATTTGAGTCTAACTGTTTCGTTCCTAACAGTGAGGGAAAAAAGTATTTGATCCCCTGCTGATTTTGTACGTTTGCCCACTGACAAAGAAATGATCAGTCTATAATTTTAATGGTAGGTTTATTTGCAAAGTGAGAGACAGAATAACAACAACAATATCCAGAAAAACGCATGTCAAAAATGTTATAAGTTGATTTGCATTTTAATGAGGGAAATAAGTATTTGACCCCTCTGCAAAACATGACTTAGTACTTTGTGGCAAAACCCTTGTTGGCAATCACAGAGGTCAGACGTTTCTTGTAGTTGGCCACCAGGTTTGCACACATCTCAGGAGGGAAGGGATTTTGTCCCAGTCCTCTTTGCAGATCTTCTCCAAGTCATTAAGGTTTCGAGGCTGACGTTTGGCAACTCGAACCTTCAGCTCCCTCCACAGATTTTCTATGGGATTAAGGTCTGGAGACTGGCTAGGCCACCCCAGAACCTTAATGTGCTTCTTCTTGAGCCACTCCTTTGTTGACTTGGCCGTGTGTTTTGGGTCATTGTCATGCTGGAATACCCATCCACGACCCATTTTCAATGCCCTGGCTGAGGGAAGGAAGTTCTCACCCAAGATTTGATGGTACATGGCCCCGTCCATCGTCACTTTGATGCGGTGAAGTTGTCCTGTCCCCTTAGCAGAAAAACACCCCCAAAGCATAATTTCTCCACTTCCATGTTTGACGGTGGGGATGGTGTTCTTGGGGTCATAGGCAGCATTCCTCCTCCTCCAAACACGGCAAGTTGAGTTTATGCCAAAGAGCTCCATTTTGGTCTCATCTGACCACAACACTTTCACCCAGTTGTCCTCCGAATCATTCAGATGTTCATTGGGAAACTTCATACGGGCATGTATATGTGCTTTCTTGAGCAGGGGGACCTTGCGGGCGCTGCAAGATTTCAGTCCTTCACGGCGTAGTGTGTTACCAATTGTTTTCTTGGTGACTATGGTCCCAGCTGCCTTGAGATCATTGACAAGATCCTTCCGTGTAGTTCTGGGCTGATTCCTCACCGTTCTCATGATCATTGTAACTCCACGAGGTGAGATCTTGCATGGAGCACCAGGCCAAGGGAGATTGACAGTTCTTTTGTGTTTCTTCCATTTGCGAATAATCGCACCAACTGTTGTCACCTTCTCACCAAGCTGCTTGGCAATGGTCTTGTAGCCCATTCCAGCCTTGTGTAGGTCTACAATATTGTCCCTGACATCCTTGGAGAGCTCTTTGGTCTTGGCCATGGTGGAGAGTTTGGAATCTGATTGATTGATTGATTGCTTCTGTGGACAGGTGTCTTTTATACAGGTAACAAGCTGAGATTAGGATCACTCCCATTAAAAGAGTGTGCTCCTAATATCAGCTCGTTACCTGTATAAAAGACACCTGGGAGCCAGAAATCTTTCTGATTGAGAGGGGGTCAAATACTTATTTCCCTCATTAAAATGCAAATCAATTTATAACATTTTTGACATGCGTTTTTCTGGATTTTGTTGTTGTTATTCTGACTCTCACTTTTCAAATAAACCTACCATTAAAATTATAGACTGATCATTCTTTACTCTTTGGTTTTTTCGGTAAAGTCACGTAGGTAAAATAAAATAAATTAAAATAAAAGAAAACAATTAAATCACGACGTTTTGGAGGCAACACAAGCTTCTGTCTTCAGGTGGAACAGTCACAGCAAGATCGCTGCATCAAGTGGGGAGGCTCTGAGAGCCTCGAGCTTCAATACAGGTTAAGGGGGGGGGGGGGGGGAGGAGCCAAGTAGTGCACATTGATGTTGTGTGGAGCTAAGTTAATCCGTCTTTTGTTATGTTGAGGGTGCGGGGGATGCAGTGGGTCACTGCACGGGGGCAATGGAGGTTTGCATAGTACTTTGGTATCGGATCATTGTCTAAACACAGCGGGTTCTCATGAGATTGTTTTCTCCGATACCAAAGTACTATGCAAACCTCCCGGTTATTACCAAAGATTTGTCCACGAAGCCATCCAGATATACAAACATAGACACAACTTCAACCGAGAGGATGGTTTTAAATTAAGCAACCACTGGAAAGATGGCATAAACCAAGTCAAAACTTTAGCTACCTTATAAGCACATAGCACATTCTTTCCGAACTTTTCCATTTTTGTTTCCATTTTTTCCATTGCCCCCGTGCAGTGACCCACTGCATCCCCCGCACCCTCGACATAACAAAAGACCGATTAACTTAGCTTCGCACAACATCAATGTGCACTACTTGGCTCCTCCCCCCCCCCTTAACCTATATTTAAGCTCAAGGCTCTCAGAGCCTCCCCACTTGATGCAGCGATCTTGCTGTGACTGTTCCACCTGAAGACGGAAGCTTGTGTTGCCTCCGAAACGTCGTGATTTAATTGTTTTCTTTCATTTTAATTTATTTTATTTTACCTACGTGACTTTACCGAAAAAAACAAAGAGTATGAATCCTTGCAGTCACGAAAGCTTCAAATCTAGAAATAAATGATCATTTCTTTGTCAGTGGGCAAACGTACAAAATCAGCAGGGTATCAAATACTTTTTTCCCTCACTGTATATAGAGGCGTAGATGTGGTAACCACACTTCTGCGCTCTTGCGCAAAGTGGGGGGGGGGGGGGGGGGATTAATGAGTTAACGTACATTACGCATGTGCATTTTGGGTGCCCTTTGATCTTGTCCTTCCTGTCTATTATGTGTATTAAAATAACCGTACCAACGGTAATCCCTATTAAAGTATGGTGCCCTTTATAGGCATGCGTTTAAATAATGTATTATATGATTATTCGTTTCCATGCAGCACTAAGGTGGCAGCCATCCAAACGGTAAAAAATATTTTTGTTTAAATTTAGAAATATTCCCTAATTAGTCTTGGCCAGTAGCAGCTAGTTTTGCACAGAACTTCAACATTATCAAAATCAATTGAGTGTTCTTGTTTGCACGCATGTTCTGCTACTGCCGACAGTTGTATTTGGGAGTATTTAATATTTCTCTGATGTTATTTTAGTCTCGTGCTGATCATTCGTCCTGTTTGCCCAACATAACATTTTCCACACGTGCGGTTAATCCTGTGCACACATTCTGTTGATCGCTTCGGTAATACATCTTTTGTACCAGTAATTAATTTCTGTATTTTATGTATGGTGCCAAATCTGATTCGGATGTTTTTTTTTTTTCAAACATCTGGCTAGTTTATTAGTTACTCCCGCAATATATGGCATTTTGATCGTTTTAATTACTTGGGAAGTTTCAATACTCGTGTTATTTGATTTGGGTTTGGCATTCAATGCCCTGCTGATTGGTGCATCATTGTAACCAGTCATTTGCAGCGCTTCTTTAACATGTTGGATTTCACTTCTCAAACTGTCACCATCTGACACTTTCTTAGCTCGATGAATGAGCGTCTTGATGAGAGCAGATTTCTGTGCGGGATGATGGTGGGACTCTGCATTCAGATAGGCGTCAATATGCGTTTTCTTTCAGTAAATACTATTATTTTACCATTTCGACCCCGTCCGAGCAGAATATCCAGAAATGGTTCTGTCAGCTTCCACTTCTATGGTGAACTGGATGGATGGGGTTTTTCAAGTTGAGATGATTTAGAAATGCGTTCAGTGTATCTTTGCTGTGTGACCAAACCACCAATGTGTCATCAACATATCTAAACCAAGCAGAGGGTTTTAGTGTGCTTGAAGCTATTGTTTTTTGTTTCAAAAGCAATAGCTTTGTGTTCAGCTAGTCTTGGGATATCTTTGGATGAACCTTTATTCGTTACCAGAGTGTCGAGTAATTTAATTGACTCGTTGACTGGAACCCTCGTAATCAGAGGTCACATCAAAACTTACGAGAATATCATTAGGTTTTGATTTAAAGCTTTCGTGACTGCAGGGATTCATATTATTGGTTCTTTCGGTAGTCACGTAGAAGAGAAACAATAAAATAATAAAAATATAAAACAATAAAATCATCACGACGTTTCAACTGCAACACAAGCAATCATCATCAGGTGTGAAAATAACAAGAAAATTTGAAAAAAGTGGCGTTTTTTTTCTTACGTTTGCACCACGGATAGCGATTTGACAGTTTGTTCAGATGGACGAGTCCATCTATGTTTGGAAAAGAGGAGGGGGCAGACGAAAAAATAATGGGTGCGGTCTGAAAGCCACCTTAAGCGTGATCAATCAATTAAGACCCGAAATGGTTTATCAAATCCTTCCAATAATTGCTAAGCCAGAATCCATCTTCTTGGTTGAAATTGTCTGTGTTTGTATATGTGGATAGCCTCATGAACGAATCGCTCATGGTAGCCAGATGGCTTGCAAAGAACCTCTGTCTTGGAGAAGTCAATGTCATGTGAATCTA